GACGTAGTGTATCGGATCCAAACCGTTGGGAGTCCAAGAAACAAGATGAAAGTGGTCCACCTGGAGAGGCTTGCTGACCTTGGAACAGCGAATGTGTTTGACCGGGACGATCAGACTTAGGTGGAGGGCAGTGTTGCGAAAATGCGAGGCGGATGTCAGATGAAAGAGAGAAGCCGATAACTAGTACATTCTAGAACGATAAAACGAGAACCTTCGATAGCGAACAACTCCATGCTTCTACGCTTTCGTCTGTGAGCAGCCGACTGCTATATAAGGGCGACACTCAGCGGCCAAGTAAGCTAGTTACAAAGTGAACTCGTGGCGTTAACATCAGTAAAGTCGTAAAGTAAACACGTTGGAGAATACATTTAAGTATAGTAAATTGTGAAAGTTGATTATAGTGATTGCAAATAGTAAAGTGCGTTGTAATTGAGTTGTGAATTACTTAGTAAATAAAGGACATAAGATAAAATCTTTATAACGAAAGAAACTGCAAATTAAGTTGACGGGTTTTATTTAACAACCCAGAGATCGTACCCGAAGGATTCGGAACATTATCGAGGTTGATTTAGCAAAATCGTAACATTATCTACAAAAGTTATAGAGTGGAGCCTCATTCTATTTAGTGGTCCCACTAAACAGACCTGTTATGCTGTAAAAACCTATTTTACGTACCATCCGTCCATAACGTCCATAGATACGTGCAGACTTATTGATTGTTGAGAGCAGCGGAATGTTACGAGTTGCCAGTGTGTTTTCCACTTCTGAGCAAATATATAAGTTTCGTCAACAAATTTCATAATTTATGTGTTCGAATGTAGACGCAAATATACATGATCTATATGTTAATAAATAATTAGTTCCGAAATTAGTTTTCATTTCTTTTAAATAAAAACCATGCATAATCTTCGATTATTTAATATTACTTTCAGAAAAGCTATACTGGCAATCCTGTTTAGCAAGGAGAACTGAGCCGAGCAGGTTTTATGGAAAAAATCAAATCGGCGCTGGTTTTTGCCAGACAACCGTCGGTAATGGCATGGGCAAGCGGTGAAAACTTTGTGTTTACATGGCGCACTCATAAGACAGGTTGCCTTGGATGGAAGGCACGTGCGTTGTCTAGTTGCAGGAATAGTCTGAGTTTACACGGTGATAATTTACTCTCACTTTTCAATTTCTTCCTTCATCTATTATATTCTCCATTCCACTATATATTAATTTAACTTTTTCAAAAATATATATAAAATATTACATATTGTTACGATTTTACTGNACTGATGTTAACGCCAACGAGTTTACTTTATCACTGCTTGACTTGCAGCTGAGTGTCGCCTTTATATAGCAGTCGGCTGCTCGCAGACGAAGCGTAGAAGCATCGAATTGTTCGCTATGGAAGGTTCTTGTGTTATCGGCTTCTCTCTTTCATCTGACATTCGCCTCGCATTTTCGCAACAATATATACACCAACTCTACCATTACGGTAGTGTACTATAAAAATAAAACCTTACATATCTCATCCTTTTCACCATGATGAGATTCAATCTCACATAATAATATTATAGCAAGTACTCAACTTTTAATTTCCAAATTTACGGCATCGATCTGTTTCAAATTGAACTCAGTTATAGTCAGTTTAAAGAGAAAATCAATATAATAGATTTGTTTATTGAGACTGAAAACATAGTAGAGCAACTTATGTTCGCGCAGAATATAACAACGGCCAAAATAACAATAGCAAGTTAGAGCAATTCGAAGATAAAAGCTCATGAAGCATTTTTCAGGCAACAATTTTCAAATGCGAATGTTTGACTTTTCAGTTGAAAATAAAGAAGAAAAATTTTATGATTTTTTTAATTAAGAGCAACAGAGTTTTCATGAAACACAATTTTTTGAAATAGGGTAACCTGACGTAATATAGAGCAGCTCTATTAACAAACCAAATACGAAATTTCGAAATCGACACCGACGAATAGAAACACGAACGAACACAGCGACTTGGTGCGCTATCAACGTTTTCGCTCCCTTGACATCAAACCAGATTTTCGTCGAAAAAAGTATCCCTGTGTAAGTTTAGACTTATGTGTGAGAAACAACATCAGTTAACATTAATCGATTAAAGTCAGTGAGGTTTTTATAGTTCACATCGTTACTTATAGACGTATATTGAAATTTTGTGTGATTGTCAAATATAGTTGAAATGGCTTCTGCAGGTTAGTTTTTTTTCTAAGAAACATTTTGTAGCGTGTTGGGGTGAAATTTTATAGAGATTTACGTGTTAAGATTGAAATTTGTTTTATGAAAGTAAACCGATTTTTGATCTACTTTTAAATAGCCGTCGTGGCGTACTGAAAAAATATTTTAAACGTATAAAAATACGATTTCGGAATTGTTTTAAGCTAAATATGTGTAATGAATCTATAAATTAAAAGGCTTGAAAATAAATATTTAGCATTGAAATAAATATACGGGATATAAAAATTGTACATTTGGCAAATTTTGCGTGTAATAGTGACGATTTGCATATATATATATATACATGTACATACATGTGTACATAGAAAAACGCGAAGCTTATTTGTACAGTATATATTAATCATGCAAGTGTTTAACCGTTTTCGTCGAATATTCATATTGTAAGCAAACAACCAGGAATTTCGACATGAAACTTTGTAGGAAGGATAAGAGAAATACTTTTCCAATATTGTAATTTTTGGAATTTAAATATATTATGGTTTATAAGTTATTTGTTAAAAATTGTTAACTTTATCCCATGATTTCTTTATCTCACTCTTTCATTTTCGTTTAACAAACACAAATATTACTTCGATTTAATTAAATATTTTCATTTATTTTGTTTAAATTAATGCGCAATGTAACTTGAATAAACATTGGCAAATTTTATTATAATCAAAACAAAAGCTCACTTAAACATGGCTGGATACCAATCTGGATGTTGTTACTGTACAGGGTAAAATATTAAATAGATTCAACATTATTAAAAAAAAAATATGGAAGGTATTGCCGTTCCATGTAAAATAATATATAAATTAAACAATATATTTCATAAAGGTATTTAAATTATGATTACTGTGCAAGGCGAAGCCGGTGTCGGTCCGGCCCAGGATTACAATCCAAAACACGGCCGAAGGCTCCCAACTTAGGCTGCAACTACCCGACGCGCGTACCAGACGTCCATAGTAACAAAGATGACTAGATACGAAACTTACTCAAAATCACTCAAATTGCAGCTGAGAGCGTTCCCCCATCTGACATTCTAATGTTGGCAGCAGTGTCAGATCGGGGAACATTCAACATCTGATGTGCAAAATGCACCAGTTCCACTATGTCAATATAAAAATCCATTATTTTTGTTGCAAAAGAAATTTGATTCAGCAGTAAATATTAAAGAAATTATTGTAATTATATTATGAAAACTTAATATAATTAAATATTGAATTGTTTCTTAATAAAATCTTTTAGTGAAATTGCAATTAAAGACGCCGTTGTTTGTAATAAAATACCCAAAATATACCTAAAAATCCAAAGAGCGCTCTCACGGAATAAAGAGTTTCGTATCTAGTCATCAATGATAGTAACCTATATTATGAGAGCGCCATGTAAACACAAAGTTGTCACCGCTTGCCCATACCGTTAGTTACGGTTGTTCCGCAGAAACCAACGCAGTTTTGATTTTTTCCGTAAAACCGGCTCGGCTCATTTTTCGTTGCTATACAATGTTGCCAGTATAGCCTTTCTTAAAGTAACATTAATTAATCGAAAATTATGAATTTGTTCAAAAGTGTGCAAACACACAGGCAGTTGGCAACATTTCGCAGCTCTCAGCGGCGTCGATAACTCGTGTATGTGTCTCGCGTTTTCGTCCCCACTTATGGATGGCTGGTAAGTGAAATGGGTAGTTGCAGCCTTACAGAGAAGTCTCACTTAGGAAGGCGGAACAGGTGTTGGTACGGCCGAGGGTTACAATCCAAAACGTGGCCGAAAGTCACAACTTTATAAAAAATTTTGACTGAGTGGCAACGCCTGCCTAGCCCAAATACAAAAAAAAAAACAGGCTCTATAATAGAGTATTATTTTATACTTAGTAGTCTGGCAGTCCCAAAGTGGACGTAATTTTGCTTTTATTACTAAAAACTCAAAATAGAATTCTTAAAAAACTTCAAGTCAGGTAGAGAAAAGAAAAGTGGATTTTTCCTCTTTTCATTCCCCGCCCTATGATATCATTGTCAGCATACGCGAGTACTTGTACAATCAAGATTGTTTATTTACTGAAACCACGTTTGGTATCGGACAAGTTCCAAACTAAAGAAAACGCTTTTCCTTTAATGGACCACTTTTGGTGAAAAATTATTTATATGAGGTCATTGGAGGTTGCATCCTTTCTCAGACTCGGAAAACCAAACCCAATGGAGACCTTTTTTTTTTTTAGATAATCATACATAATTGCACACAAAGCAATTCTTTTGAACTTTAGATGCTTTTCCTTTGCTCCAGGCTTGATGAAAATTTAGGTATAGGACACAGAAAACCAAACTTACCGGAGACCTATAGTTTTTGGGATATTCAAGGTTGAAATTGTAAAAAATTGGATTTTTACCCTATGATATGTTAAAAAAGTGCACGTTATAAGTAAAAATTTGCCCAGCCAACAGTTTTGATAGTGTGTTTATAAGTAAGGAAGAATTTTTAATTGTTTATAACTTTAAATTATACATTTTCACGCGATAAAATTAATATTTTTTGGTAATTGTGGACCTCCTACTACCAATCCTGAACACTTCATGAAAAACCACAAGCTTCAAACTAAAGTCATCCCCATAGGCCCTTACAAGAGGACAGTTAGTTTTGATTTCTCCAGATTTGATAAAGATGCGAAGCAAATGGGTCTTTTAGTGAACGAGGACCAGACGAAATATCTCCTGTCATGAAATAAACAGTCTTCACATCCTGACTCGGCTCCCACGTCTCTGTTGACAGTCCTAACTTCGAGGTCGTAGATAATTTCGTCTATCTAGGGATCAGCACCAACACCGATAATAATGTCAGTCTTGAAAACCCAAACAGAATCACTTTTGCCAAAAATTGTCAATGAGCAGTCTTAGTTATACGATGATATTGACATAGTCGAGCGAAAAAAAGTGTCAGAGACAAAGGTGGGTAAGTCATGTCGATGCTGTACCCACTGGTGATGCAGAAGAATAGGAAGACCTACTTTCTGAAACAGCGAAAAGAAGGGATGGCGTGCTAATGATGATACGGCGTAGGTCGCGTTGGCTTGTTCCAACTCGCCCTTTCCGAAAGACAAAATTAAACGATTGATTAATATAACTTTAGCCCCTCTCTTTAGAAAATTTCTAAGAAAATCTGCAGAAGCTCTTGAAAGGCAAACATTTTTTCTTTGATACATTTTGCCCAAAATATACGAATATTTATGAAAATAAGTGTTCAATGTAATATTACTCTATGCTATTGTAGCGGATGTTTTATTAAACCATCTCTTTCAATACATCAAATATAATGAAGACGAAAAAAATAGACTTTAATAAAAGATTAACAAAAATTGAAAAATCACAGCGACTTGAAATAGATTCAAGTTAGATACGCTGCGCGGAAGAGTTCAAGAACTTTTCCGCGGTAAGACATGTCTGTCCCCCGCGGTAGCCGAGTAATTAGCATTGCGTACTGATATTCGGAAAGCTCGGGCTCAAATCCCGGTGCCACCAACAGCCAAAAGTTATTGAAAATTAATTCAAAGAAAAATTCCCCTCGGCCACACCTCCGAGTGTATTTCGGACATGAAATAAAGCTCCTCACAAAACCATCAATCGTCCGGAGGCGGCTTATTGTAAACTATAGGTCCCTTCATTTCAGTTTCTCTATTTCCTCGGTGACGGTTTCAATCCCAAGATCGTTGTGAATTGTGGAGTTTTATTTACATACCAAGGAGCTTTGCATATTGATCTTAAGATTTAAGACTGCACTGAATTCAAAGACTATCTACCATCTAGATTCAGATGCTGAGCCGCAAATTTGGATCCCGTGCGTCCAAGATGGCTTTATAAGCATATTAAAAAGTATAACTTTGTTTTCTAGACTTCGTTTGGACTTGAAGACTACAATCCAATGCAAAGCTCGCAATTTTCAATTTGATTTGAGTAATCTCTTTTGTCTAAGTAGTTTTTCCAAGACGGGCTCCAAAACATTTCCTAATGGAACACCAGCAGATATTTTATAGGATTCAGTGGTGTAACTTTTTTGCCTAACACGAAACTTTCTGCCAATAAGAAAGCTTTCTAAGACATCATAAATTTTTAAGGGAAGCGTACCTTTCAGCTCGTATAATAGACCATCCAACTAAACTTTTTGAAATACCTGAGCAACATCGAGGAACACAGTAATATTCTTTTTAAAAAAAAGTTTTTCGAGGTTTTGAGAAAATCGTAGTTAAGCTAATAGGCCTGTAGGAGCCCACAAAAGATGGATCTTTACCTGGTTTGGGATCATAATAATCTCCGAAAGCTTCCAGTATTTAGGAAAATAGCGTAGTCTCAATATAATATTAATATACAAAGCATGTCTTTAATTGCCACATTTGCAAGCCCTTTTATCATATCACACATTATCCTGTCGTATCTAGGAACTCTCTTTTCCTTTATATCGTTAGTAATAATTTCTTTAAGTGATTTAAGGACATCCTGAAGTTTTGTTTATGGATATTGAGTTCATTTCTTAAGTTCGGGGGACGAAACCTCTGCCAATCTCTCTTTAGTTGTCTTTGTTTTGGTTACCAGACTGGTAAATCTGAGGTTTTGCTGAAATCAGTTGGCAGGTATGTTGGCTGACCGGTAGATACAACGTCGAAATCGTTACTTTGAATGGCTTTATATAAATTTCTACCTTTTGGAGATATTAGCCTAGATCCCTAGAAGGAACGTTTTGCGTTGTAATCACCTGCTACCAGAAACCGTTTACCTAGTTAAAAAAGAAATCAGTAAATTGAGTTTTTGATATGTTGTATCGGGGCGGACAATATATGGTGGAAATGTTTATTCCACCAGAATTATCATGTATATGAATTTTTGCCTGATAAGCATTCCAGTTCCACCGTTCGCTCTCCCTTCAAGGTTTTTGTGTCATAAAACAAAAATGTATAAATATTGAAGTTGTTAAATTTGGTCAAATGAGTTTCGGAGATTAGCATTATATCTATTGCTTGATTTTCCAAGAAGAGCTGAAGTTCATTTTTGTGTTAAGCCAAGCCGTTGGCGTTCCAATAACATATCATCTTAAGGTCGTTCATGGCTTAGACAAAATCGCTTGAAGGAGGAGATTTTGATTTCGCATTAAATCTTGCAACATACTTTGCATTGATGTGATATGTTCTTTCATCATACGTATAAAGTTGTTTAGTGTATTTTCAAGTGAGTTAACAGACGGAATGTACGGGATGGACGTTTCTTGCGTTGGGAGCTTAGGTACACCATTTAAAGCTTGGGCGTAGGATACAAAGTATAAGTAGGTTTTTTTTCGGCAACTTTGGCATGAGGCTGAGGTTGAGAGGCAGGAAATGTAAATGGGAAGAACTTCTCCCTTTTTTAAGAGTTGGAAATCTAGCTTAATATCAACCCTAAACAGTGGCTGAGGTATGTTAGCCTTATTTCTAATGTTGAATACGTGATTATCAGCATCAAAAAGCAATTGAAATCGATTATTACTCTTGCTGTTTTCTTCTCTTGTAGTTTTGACAATATTTTTTTGATTTTGTTCACTGTTGTTTTGGGGTGACCGTTTCCTTTTTACAAGAACGCAGCGATCGATCCCCGAATGAAATACTGCTTTCTTTGCACCGCTATTTACGGAAAAGTCTTGCGTTTCGACTCTAGGCGGAGCTGGAGGAGTTGCGGTAAGGGGCGATTGAGCCCATGAAGGGTCTGGTAAAGTAGTCCTAGAAGGGATTACAAGAGCAGAAGACTCATTTTCCAATAGATGTGTTCGCTGTTGTTTTGGTGCTTGTTGTCGCTGTTGGCTTTGGGTAACATTTCTACGGTGTGGCGAGCGATTTAGTCCCCCTTTTTTTTTTGCAAAATGACCAATTTAGTCCCAAAAAACAGGGGATTTTGAAACAAAGTTTTTTGACAACTCTAATTTGGAAACGGCACAAGCAAATACAAAATTTCATGCATACTTTTAGGCGCCTTTGTTTCATACCAGAGCTTTTTATATCTTTTTATTATTTTGATATATTTTTCTCTGTCCAACTTGTGTGATTTGGAGGAGTGTTGGAGTCTTTTGTAAGACACGCAGCAGATATACCAGCCCTGATAAGAAGGATTTGGACCCAGCTGCAAGGTGTTGCTCCGTTGGCGAACTTAACTAATTTTACCTGTCGACCTAAACGGAGTTAGGTCGCCGAAAGGGTGACAGCCCTTGGCCGGATAAAATCGGGGTCAACTCGGATGCGTAAAACCGGCTGTCGTGAGAGTTGTCTAATTGTATTGTGAAGTTATTTGGTTTAAATAAATGCAACTTTATATTTTCATTTTTTAAATAAGCTTTAATATTTGTGCTTTAAAAAAATTTCCAATTGTACATTCCCTTTCCAGAAAATTGAAAGCTTCTCCTAATGACCCATGTATAAAATTTAAAAAATTGTAGATTTATTAACCTAATTATTAATGATTCATTAAGTTTGGAGGGAATTTACAAATTGTGTAATTATCAACGGAATAAAATTTTCTTAAAATTAGATTAATATTAAGTATAGTAAAAATAAATCAATTATTTTTCCTAAATATTTTCTTTTTGTATCCAGCCTTATTCAAATGGTTCCAAACAGTATTTTGTGCAGTCTTTAGCTCTTGGGCAAACGAAACAGTGTACGTGACGGTGACGGTCGGACTCGACAATATCCATGAGTTTTATCGATATTTTCGACAATAGGCTTTCCACTCCGTAAAGCATCTTTTACATCAAAATTACAGGATCAGGACCATAAACGCTATTCGCATTTCAGCCGCCTGGCTTGTGTTTTCGCCCTTATCAAAGAAAAATTGTAAAATACAGCTCATTTTCTCTTTGCTAGTGTCCATCTTCGATGCACGCCCAAAAAGAACTGAACGATCCAATCATAAAACTGTCATCTTTCTAACGCCATCTATTTCTTTTTTACTTTACCTAATATTATATCTTCTTTTGTTAGAAGCGATCAAATGTTATTCAATGATATCAAAAGTTAAATTCCTGCTGTGAAAATTTCAGCCAGTAGAAATTAGAAACTATGGAAAACAAATGAGCTGCATTTTTTTCAATTCATGTTGCAGTAACAGAAGAAGTAACTACGTTTATTATACACATTTTATTTGACGATATCAAATTCAAAATTAACCTCCAAAATAAACAGCTGTTGTACAACTTGCTGGCTAATTTTTTTACTGGATCCTGTTTTTTGAAAACTCTCTTCCTTTCGTAGAGTAAAACATCTTACTTTCTCAATTTCGTTACTTGCTGGTTTTTACTGACATTTCTCATTTTCGATGAGTTTGTTCGATTTCAACATTAACAATTTCCTTTCGTTTTAATACCATCCCATCAAGAAGGCTTCCGCTTATTTGAACTAGCATATGTCAGGAACGCATGATGCCATATTTCGTCAGCTCGTAGAACGGGCTTCCTATCATTTTCTTAAGGCCGAAATGACAAATGTGATGTTTACATTTGTAGACGTGTACGTCATTCTCTCTTCGTTTCCTTGTTCATTTTCGTCATTCTTGTCGGACAAACAGAACGCAGCTGAGCAAAAGCATTGATACCAAAAACAATAATATGGACGTAAAAATACAGCAGCAGTGCCGTACAAGCCGAACACTTCCAGTGGCTCACAGCCAAAGTGATGCAGTTTTCTAAGAAATAGTGTAATAAGTTTTATCTAAAATTGAAATAAATTTCCCAAAAAACATGAATGCGATTTATTAGCCGCAGATATACACATTTCATTGATGCTTTAAAAATTTTATATTATGTTTATTTTATGTAATTTACAACAAAAATAAACTTCAGTATTAAATTGTACATCACATATGCATATATACATACATACAAACACTATTAAGATTCAGTCTTTATTTTAATATATAACATAAATCATGTACATGGCTTACATAGCATACGAAAGAAATAACAATGCAACAATAAATTCGTTTTCAAAAATCAAACGCCTCCGACATAATCGCAGCTCTTTGGAAGTATAAATTCATCTAAGTAAAATTAAAAAATAACATTCGAATCATAATGTTATAAATATCTAAATGCAGTTGTACCTCGCAAAGTTTTGTTGAATATTTTTGATATGTGCTGCTGTTGCAAGATGAGAAGCTTCCATTTTACTCAACCTGCTCCATTAACAGAATTTTCCGTACAATATGAAGTAGTTAATTAATCGACAATATATTATTACCACAACTTATATATGATCCTCATCATATATTTTTTACTTCTATCTGCTGCGGAAAAATAAAAAATGGAGTTCTACTCGAAAATAAGAACAAAGAAAATCGGATAATCCGTCCAACTGCATTCTTCTTCAAATTGTATGTTGAATTGCTCTATCGCAAAATTTTTTCTTTATTGCGGAAAGCCAAAAAAAACTTATATTTTCAGCATTTTTTATCACACAGCTCAAAATGCGAATTTGAAATTAGATAATAGATTTTCGATTGAAAATTTTTCTGCAACTTATAATAAATCTTTGGTACAAAGCCAAGAGCTACCGCCACGTAGTATTTAATATACGCTTGATTGAAACTTAATTTTTTCAGGTAAAAAGGGAAAGAAAAAGGGTACTGTTATATCCTTGCAATCCTTTTTGGCTAATGGTGATGTACCTGTAGGTACCACGCAAGTATCAAAAAAGGTCAGAAATCTTGAAGGAGAAGAAAGTGACGACGGAATAAATGGGCTTCCATTAGTGCTCCAGCTACCAACTGCTCCCAGAGCTAACCGTGTTTTTGATGATAATTCGATTCCTCACAACCCTCCTTATATTGCCTATTTAACTAACCTCCCATTTGATGCCAAGGAAGAAGATTTACATGAATTCTTCGGATTAACTCCAATAACATCTTTGCGCTTGCCACGAGAAGAAGGTGAAACAGGTCGAGTAAGAGGATTTGGTTATGTTGAATTTGAGAATCGCGATGATTTAATCAACACCCTTAGTATGCCGGACCCATGTATTAAAGGTAGAAGGATTAGAATTGAACTATCTAATGAAAGCGAACAGCAAGGTTTTAGACAGAGAGGAAATCGTCGTGGATTCGACGGTTTTAATAATAGTGTAGACAATAGGGAGTCAACGAATTGGCGCCGCGAAAATAGTATAAATGATTCATACGGTAGTTACGATCGAAACCTAAGTCGGGAAAGAATTGATGATTCTAAAACTATGGGCTCTTGGAGGTCTGGAAATCGTATAAATACAAATCACTATTTTGAGTCGAAATTAAAAAACGACACAGAGAGAAGCTCACTAAACAATTTTAAACGAAATGATACAGAACTAGAAAGGCCAAAATTAAATTTAAAGCCCCGCACCTTACCTCTTCCCATTGTCAGTAAAGAAACGGACACAGATATTGAAAAACATGAGGAAAATAATAAAGAATCTGAAGCAGTTGGTGTTAAATCTCAAAAAGTATTCGGTTCTGCAAAGCCGGTTGATACTGCTACCCGCGAATTAGAGATTGAGGAGCGAATGTCAGAGGCTCGTCGGCAACACCGATTAAAGCAAGAGGTTGATCAAAATCACATAAATGAGAAGATTGGCGATATTCATTTGGAGAAAGCATATAAAGATAATACGAACTATACTACGAGCTGGCGCAGAAAAGATGGACAGTTGCAAAATAACCTTAATAAAAGCCTGGAACATATAGATAAATTTAATACAAAGAAGATAGGTAAGCAGTAATCTAAACTTTTTAACAAGTTAATTATATACATATTTTTAGATAACCATGGAGATGATAATAACTTAATCAGGCATGGTGATTATATTGAACGGTAAGTGATTTGTTAAAATTTTGTTGAAATTTTTTTATGGTTTTTTAATCCAATATGTAAACATTCAAGTAACACTTTCGTAAGGCCTCTTAAAAATATTTTTTAATACGTTGTATTTCAAAACTTAGCCAAGAGTATAGACAAATTTTCTAATTGTGGATTTAAAAAGTGCGAAACAATATGTTGTGATTTCTAACGAGAATTCGGGAATTGCGTAATCATGTTCTGGAATCTTTTGGAACTTAGTTTATCGAAATTTTTGTATTCAAGCTCTATAGTTTACTCAATATAACTGCTATTATTTAGTCTACTTTTTGCTCCATGCTTGTGCCCTAAGCTAAAAAACATCAATCAGACCAAAATTTATTGTTCCTTAAAATATTATATTATGTATAATATTGTTATTAAATATTTCTAGAAATATTAGTTCGCATCCTTTTTTTTACAAGTTAGTTATTAGTTGTGTAGCGATGTTTTCTATTAGGCTGGAGTTAGCTCAGTCTCGCGAAGGGTTTTCTAAAAATAAAAAGGTACTATTTGTGTTCCTTGCAACAAATTTTTTTTTAAACATAAATATATACAGCCATCATATGAGAAAATGTAACTCCACTGAGGAAAAAACGGTATTTTTCTGAATAAAAAAATGTATAATAGTTACATAGGTTATCTAGTTTACAGTGCGTTTCGTACATTCCCGTTGTCTTAGCAACCGTATTTTTTTCGCAAGACAGCGTTTTTTGAAGATGGCCAAAATACGAAAAAAGAAGCTAGATCCTTTTAAATTGTCTAGGCGAAAAAATACAGAAAATAAACGAAGAATTCGATTAGACTATATCAAGAAGCCATAACGGAAGGCGTTTAAATAAGGTCCAGCTCCTTAGACGCATTACCCGCAAAAAACCACTCAAAGTTTGCTAAGACGCCTGAGAACCGGGCGATTAGTTTTTGGAAAAATGTGTTATGGGCCGATGAAACTAAAATAAATAGAATGAAGCCAGATGGGAACACCACATTTCATCGTTAAAGAGCTCAACATTTGAATCCTAGGTAAACTAAAAAAACCATAAAACATGCAGGCGGTAATATCATGATTTTGGGGGCATTTTCCTGGCATGGCGTGGGACCAATTGTGCGAATAAATGAAAAAATGGACAAATATCAATATCTGGACATCTTAAAGAATGAAATGGAGCCATTCGTATGTGACTCCATGCCACCAAATTGCAATTTTATGCAGGATAAAGCGTCAAGGAAGAGGGGTACTCCATACCAAAAGAAAAATATGAGAAACTTGTTGAGAGCATGGGACGCATTGGTGAAGTTGTTATTAAAAATCGTGGATATGCTACAAATTACTAATAGATAAGACCTACTTAAGACCTAATAATGGTATATGCTCTGGCATATTTGAACTTAAAATTACAAGTTTTGCAAAATGTGCTATTTGCGTGACCAGAGAATTTCATTAGGAACCTCAAACTTTGAATTATTTTAAATTTTCATTGAATTATTATTAAGTTTTTGTATAAAGGTTGTGTTAACTGAGTAAGCACATCGTTACAATATTTTCATATTTTAAGCACAGATATCCCTTTGTTTCATTATTATGTATCGGAAGGAAAGTTGTGTATTTGCATGACCATGGCTGTATAAACATAAAATATTCAACTTTTTGCTCAGCTTTCAACTCAACATTCATCTACTTCTTTCATAGACAGTGGAGGCGGAAACCCTGTACTAATCTTTCAGTGAGGCGAAAATCGTCGTAAGCCTCTTAAACACTCGTAAGGTGTAAACCTTCGGGTGCGCTACGTTTGTCGTGGGGTTATTTCACAGACAAGTATGGCTAACGACAAGCCCAAGGCTACTTAGCTCATTTTAAAATCTCTCCTTTTTACATCATTCTGTACGCAGACAGAATGTTATCCTATACAAACAACAGTTTCAATTAAGTTACTTTTACTTAAGTATGTATATAAACAAGTAAGCTCTTGTTTGTGGATTTTTATTAAACTGATATAAATTATTACAGCCCAAAATTTTGATAATTTATCAAGATTTTTAACAAGCAAGAATTTATTTGGTATTCTGTGTCAATCTTGATTAAACATAAAGTTTCAGTTTGTTGTGCTTTTCCTTATAAGTGAAGTACACAACGAAATGTGAAAAGAAATCATCTGTTTTGCTAACATCAATACTTATAGAATAAAGAAAAAATAAAATTACAAATATGTATTGTATGAATGTATTATATAACTACAGTATATTTTGAAAGTCAAATGTAAAAATGTTTACATTTTGATTATTTAATAACTATAGGAATGAAATATATCTGAACGTATGTAGGTCTTTCACCTTAACTTAAGTATATACTGTATACTGGCAGAACCATATAGTTTGTTATACTTTAGTTATTTAGAGGATTTAGGTTCATCATCTAGTGTTAGAAGCCACGGCTCTCAAGGATAAACTTTATCGCCAATAAGACAAGGTTCTCTCTGCTATTGTACACACATATCATACGTGCTGACGAATGAGATGCTCCCCCGAATTCCAAAGTCATGTGTTGCAACTGAGAACTTTGCGTTAAGAGAAGTGAAACATAAGCGCACACCTGAGAAACGAAACATTTATAAAAAAACTGCATTGGTTCATACATACAACAGAGCTTACAGCTTTGGCAGTGATAATAAAGAACACCTTTCAATTTACGTTTAATTTTTTTTGATGATGGAGTAGAATGTTCTAAAAAAAAAGGAATACATTTGCTGCTGGAAGAAACGACTGACTCATGGGCCTACACATTTTTGGTATGAGCCACACCCAAAAAAAGTTTAAAGCCACCAGCACTCTTATGATTAAAGACAGTTCCGTTTTTCGGATATCTATGAGATGACGTAAAATTTCGCAAGTCAAACAATTTTCACGTTTTCCTCTTCACCTAACAACAACAACATAAGTGAACTATGTATCTTCCTTTCTTACAATTTGTTATTAACAACTATCCACAAACAGTAAAAAGATGTTTTATTTGAAAAAACACTGACAAAAGTATTTGACATCTTGATAAATTATCAAGAAAAGAGCTTTTTAATATGTTCAGAATTCAATTATGGTATAGATGTGAGGATGTGGGTTGTTACAGTTCGAAGAAAAAGGAAAAACATTTGTCTAATTGACGGATTTAGGTTTGCCAAGAATTACAAGAAATCTATCATTTATAGAAAATACTTTTTTAGATTATAGGTTGGATAACGATTTAAAAGTGTTTAAATGAATTCTAGGTATAGAAGAACCGATAAATAATAGATGTCTTCAAGTAGAAACAGCTCTAGAGTAAATTTTAGCTACAATGTATTGCTTTTTGTGACTTAAGATGTTAGCACATCCGCATAATATCTTCTGAAAATCTTTATGCTTGAAGTACCTTTGGGGAATGTTGCGGGAGTGACAGTCCTTGGCCGGATAAAAATCCGGGTCGTGCCGGTATAAAGACCCGACTGTCGCGGGAACTATTGGATTTTAGTCGCCTCTTACGACAGGCATGCCTTACCGCGGGTAAATTCTTGAGCCCCTAACCCGCAGGGGGTAGTAATTTTTTCTCTTTGACCACTATTTGCAAATCATTTTTATTTGTGTGTGACAGTTCATTTGTGCTAAAAAAACAATAAGGGTCCTTCTAACTAAAATATATTCTAACTCAGAACTATGATTATGAACCATAATCTGTTAGCCAAATAAATTAATTGTAATTTAGCAAAATTTTTATTTGTAGAATACTTCTTAGATTTATTCTTGCTGATGAAATCTGCTCCCTCTGTCTTTCACATTAAATGGATACCTTGCCAAATAAATAAAAAAGGAAACTTAATTGGAATAAACATAAAGTGCAAACAAAAAAATAAATAAAGTTATTCAGAGAGTATAATACAATAAAATGAATGCATACAGCAGATAGCTGCCCAATAATGTAAGCACTATAAGAAAAAGCAAACAAGCTTAAAATAAATTATATGATATAATAAAATTGAAAATCTAGCCCTCCGAGTGTATTTATGACATGAAATAATTTGCCACCAATTATCTACAAATTACCTCTGTAGCTTTTAATAATTAAACCACGTTTTAAAATCACAGAATCAGTTTCAGGAATTTTTTGATAGCCTTGTAAATAGATTTATAACCGGAGGAGACTAATACAAAACATTATTGGGTATTTCGATTAAGGGGTTACATAAGTCTTGAAAGCCAAAAAAAAACTTATTTTCTCTGATTTCTCTTTCAAAGATACTCAATAAAGTATACAATTTATTTTGTTTACATATAAAATTACAATATGTGGACAACATTTGATGAAAAATAGTATAAGTTAAGGCGTTGGCAGTGTCGTGAAGTACACCGTCCACAAGAAAGTGCTTTCGCGTTAGTCATGATAACTTTTTCAATTTTTAGTCATGATAACTTTTTCAATTTATTAAGAATATACCCGTGGTAAGGCATGACTATCGTAAGAGGTGGCTAAAATCCAATAGTTCCCTCGACAGTTGGGTATTTATACCAGCACGACTCGGATTTTTATCCGGCCAAGGACTACCACTCACGCAATATTTCCCGAAACCTAATTCAACAATAACAATTTTATGTTGTAGGAATCAACCGAGAATGTCTTTAAAACTCTGGTGATAATTAAAGAATTAATCCTTGGTGTTGGAAAGGCCATTGAACACTTGGACCCAAAGAAATCCTCAGGCCATAACCATATTACACCAAAAATGCTAAGAGTTCCACTAGCACTGCTCTCCAAACCTTTTAATGCCATTGCGATATTAATGATAGCCATACCAGGTAAGGATCACACAGGCGTCTCCTTAGGGATCAATAAACCTACTACCGCATGTATCCAAACTATTTGAAAGATTCCTGCTATATAAAATATCTGCCTTTCTCCATCGAAACAATATGGTACCTGCACACCAATCCGACATTCGTAAAAAACACAG